ATCTATCTATCTATCTATCTATCTATCTATCTATCTATCATCTATCTATCATCATCTATCCCCTTTTCCTTTTCTCTTTCATGTACCATCTATCAACTACTTGTATTAGTGTTTCAGGGCTTCTGTAAAGATGAACACAAGCTGGTGGCTTAAAGCAACAGAAATGCATTCTCTGATAGTTCAGGGAGCCAAAACTCTGAAATGCAAGTGTCAGCAGGTTGCCTCCACATAAGGTTGTGAGAAAGAGATTCTCTCATGCTTTTCTGCTAGGTTCTTGTGGTAGCTGGCAATCCTTAGTCATTGGTTTGTGGCTGCATACCCCAGCCTCAGGGTCTGTCACCATATGGACTTCTTCCCTCTGAGCCTCCCCGACCAGCTCCTTAGGATACCAGTCATAGATTTCGGTTAGGGTCCAGTTTTGCCTCCTCTTAATTACCTTTTCAAAGGCAGTATTTCCAAATATGGTCACATTCTTAAGTTCTGAGCAGACATGGATTTGGGGTAGTGCTATTCAATCTAGGACACTACCAGCATCCCTCTTACTTTATCTTCTCCTACTTTATCTTCTTACCTTTGGTCCCTGATTTCTTCTCATGCATGTTGTTCAGTCTATCTGACCTACTTACTCAACTTCTTGAGTGCCTACTATATTTGGAAGCATTGAAATGTAGCAAAGTCTTTGCCCATAGAACTCTTATAGTCTAATGAAGAGGAGATGCATTGAAAATAGTTTGATTATATGTTTAAAATAGTGAAATGTATATTATGACCAAGTGCTATTAAATGATATGAAATTTAAAGGGAGGTATGATTTATATTGATAAGCATCTATTGGGATTTGAAAAAAAAGATGTTAGCTATGAGTTTATTATCCTGCTGACATTTTGTAGGATTAGGATCAAACCCAAGGCCTTGTACATGCTAGGCTAGTGCTCTTCCACGGAACTACATGCCTGGTCTCTTAGCTAGGATTTTATTCTATGAAGGCATTATCTGAGCAAATGTCAGGGGGAGAACATTTGAGGGGGAAGAAGTAATAGAATATTTAGGGACTCCAAGGCAGGGAAGCCATTGGCTTATCTTTCTTGTAAAATGCGCACTGTGGTGTTGCTGCAATGGATCAGAAAGAGGCATGAGAGAGGGCTGAGAGGTGAGCAGCAGCAGATCCCATGGGGCATGCCAACATTTCAGATTTTTTCCCAGTGGACATGGCTGTCTAGTACAGGCTTCTAGCAGAAGAATGAACCGCCAAGTGGAAAACAACTGGAGGAAGGCGGGAGTGTGAACGGACCAGTTAACAGGCCTTTATAATAAGCCACGTGAGAGATGACAGCTTGGATAGAGCGATGACACTGGAGATGACAATAGATGGGTGTATTTGAGATTGATTTTATAGAAGTTATGACTTGTTGATGGTTGTAAAAGGGGGCATGAGAGGCAGTAATCATCCTTTCAGTCTGTAAAATGAGTGACTAGGTGCACGCGGCACATCACCAACATGCAAAGCCCAGAAGGGAAGGTGAGCAAGGACAGAACATTAAGGCTTTGGTTTCTGACAAGAGAAATTTGAGATGCCTGTGGGAAATTCAAAAGAAGGCGATCTGCTCTGCTGGGAATTCTTGCCAAATAGAGGCATTTGGAGCAATTATTGGCTAAATGTTTTTATCTAAGTGGACTTTTTTTTGTCTTTTTAAATGTCAGATGGCCTTGTGCTAGTTTATTTGGCTCTCTTTTTAAGTATTTGGGCCCACGACCTGGTTACACTCTCAGTCTCCTATTTTAATCATTCTAATTGTGTCTTATTTTGTGGATTGCTCTCTAATCACAGTGTAAAGACATAGTATTTCAACAGAAAGAAGCAGATTTTTCCCATTTGTATGCCTTAGCCCACCAATTATTTAGTATCTCTGAGTTTTAGCTTCCCAGCTATAAAAGGAGCATTGGTTGTTTGCTGTTTTGAAAAGCTATTATTCTCTAATCTAACAATTACTGTTAAAGAATGCCAAGATTTCAAACCAACAAAGGACTTATTTGAATTAGATTGTAAAGCATGTTGTGAAGTCCACATCAGGACCAGCAATTGATGGTTAAAGCAAACATTGTTCGTGTTGGTCCTGGATACTATTGTTATAGTTTATAAGCATTTCTTCTGTGCTTACTGATTTCTCATGGAAGTTTGTAGAAAATAAATTTAGATATTTTTACATATTAAAACAGCATCACTTTTAAATCTTAGACAAACATGCTTCACTGTTTGTCTAATGGATGCTCTTCAAGTAAATTCAGGTTATCTAAATATCATGGACCATCTGGTAAATTATTGATCAGGAGGCACAATTAACAGCATATCCTTATAGTTTCCAATGAGAAATCATACAAAGCATCAACTAATCAGTAGTCTTTGCATACCTCGGTGACAGCGAAGCTTCTCTTGCCACAGGGAACAACTTTGTACCACTTGTCGTGCAGCACATCCATAAACCCATGTGACTTGTACTGACTGATGAGCTCAGATATGTTGGAGGTCAGTGGAGAGTTGGGAGGGAGACCAATGCCATATCCTAGGAGAAAATATAATCCCACATGAGTTTTCATACTGTTCCTGAGGGGTTATATCTGTACTTGTGTGATACCGCCATAAGATCTGATAACAAGGGCATGGTGCGTGCACTACATGTCCTTCAGATGACTCAAAAGTGTTCTTAGTGATGATTACCCGTAGGCCAGATGCATCTCTGAGTAGATGCGATGAAGTGTGGAGGGATGTACATAGTGTGTCAGCAAAACATTTGAAGGTCTTCTGTCCTTTCCTTCAAGATGTTTCTTAGAAGTAAACATTGAGCTTTTTACTAGGTCTGGGATTCCTTAGCCCCCTTTCCCATAATCCATCTTCTGGATTACTCATATTCTTTGGCTTATGAGAGTTTTGTTATTTTTGTTGAGTTGATACAGAACACTATCTTACTTTTTTGGTTTATTTTTTAATAGTACTATGTGTGATGGTTAATCTTGACTGTATGCTTGTTGGAGTGAGAAGTGCCTAGGAGACTAGTAAAGTACACCACTGCACATGTTTATGAGGGCATTTCTAGAGAGAGTAAGTGAGGGAGGAATTATTTATTTTAGCTCATAGTTTCAGAGGTTTGGTCCATCACAGTGGGGAAGAAACAGAAGCAAACAGAGAGAAGGACACATGTATAGGAAGGGTCCAGGGCAAAATATACCCAGGCAGACACCAGCACCTTGTGACTTACTTCTTTCAACTAGGAACCACCTCCCCCTTTTCATCACCTCCCAATAATACCATCATACTGTCAATCCATCAAGGGATATCCCCCAACCTTATCACATGAGTTTATGGGGCACATTTTGTATTCAAATCATAATACCACGTGAACATGTAACAATTTATAGACGTAAAATAACCACAAGGACTTACAATAATTAACCTCATTTGTCAAAAAAGTGACAGTAACAGTGTTGGCAAAAATGTGGAGACTAAGAGTAAGATCGTTTATAACTTAGATGGTAACTTGTTGGAATGCAAATGGAAACAACTTTGGAAAACAATTTGGCATCACTCTGTAGAGTTGAAAAGTTACATTAAGACTAGAAGTTCTGCCCCTAAGAACACTTCCAAAGAACTCCCCCACTAGCACACCAGAGGATATGGTCATGAACACCGTTGGAAGCACTGTTCATAGCATCAAAACTTGGAAAACCCATATATTCTTTGATAAAGGCATGGGTAAATGAATTGTGGATTATGTATATGATTGGAGTAATGCATAACCAATATATGAGTTAGAAATAGAATGGTATAGATAACTCTTAGCAATACACTGTTGAGGGGAAAATATCAGTCCCTCAAATCCTTGCAGCCTGAATGTACCATGTAAAAAATCCACAACAAAATAATATATTTTTAGAAATACATATGAATGCAATGAAACTACATTTAGGAAAAAAAATGCAGGATAAGATTGCCATTATGCAGGAGATAAGAGACAGGGGAAGGGTTAGAGAAAAAAAGATGAATATAATTTTCTGAGTTTTATTAACCAGCGTCGAGTCTGTATTCTTATACTGTGTGGCTCCACTTGCTTTCTAAGCTGTTACTGCACTGTTAATCTCTTAGACAAACTATGTGAAAAAGGCTAATTAACCACATCTTGTTTTCAGCTATTGGATACCGCTGTCAAAAAGAAAAAAAACCATTTTACTATTTGTCTTCAAGGTGATTGAGAAAGATATATTAAAAATGCAGTCAGTTCCTCTTTCATAGATAAAGATTAAAAGACTGTCAAAGACCCAAAGACATGTAATGAGACAAATACCTGCTCTTAATTATCCCACCTTACAACTCAATCCAAAGATATTAGTTTTTGTTCCTTTTTAAATGCAGATACATAAACCCCCTTAAAAAATGAGGTTCGTGATATGGAATAGAAATCAGTAGTACCAACAGCTTTTTGACTTTTAAAGAATCGTGAGGTTTTTGTGAGAATTTTGTTTGTTTCTTAACAACATAGTCAAGCAAAGGAGGACAATGTCTAAAGTGTAACTGGAGTTTCCATTTAAATAGCTGCTCTGGTGCCTGCTCTGGTGCTGCTGGTTTTGATTTGAAAGGCAAGACTGACAATAATAGAATTTGGATGGCTAGCCTGTTCTTTTGCTGATGTTACCATTAATTAGCACTTTGTACAGTGGGTACTTTTCTTTTTTAAGGGATTTATTTATATTTTATGTGTACATGTGAGTGTCTGCACATTTATACATATATGTGTATGTATATAGATGTATTTATGTGTGTGTGTGTATGTATCTACATATGTATGTGTATTCATGCATATGTGTGTGAGTGCAGTTGCCTATGGAGGTCAGAGGGTGCAGTGCCAGATACCCTAGATCTGGAGTTACAGTTGATTGTGAATCACCTGATGTGGGTGTTGGAAACTGAACCCAGGTCCTCTGCAAGAGGGAGCCCATGGATACCTTTTCTAAGGAAGATTTTTATTTTCTTTAAAAGCATTATGAGGGGCTGGAGAGATGACTCAGCATTTAAGAGCACAGACTGCTCTTGCAGAGAACCTGGGTTCAATTCCCAGCACCTACATGGTGGCTAACAACCATCTATAACTCTATTTCCAGGGCTTCTGATGCCTTCTTCTGACTTCCACGGGCACTACACAACGCAGGTGCACTTACATGCAGAGAGTACAGTCATACACATAAATTAAAAAACAATTAAAAAATAGAAATATGCTGGGCATGGTGGTGCATGCCTTTAATCCCAGCCCTTGGGAGGCAGAGGCAGGCGAATGTCTGAATTCAAGGTCAGCCTGGTAACATAGGGAGTTCCAAGCCAGCTGGGGCTACAGAGAGACCCTGTCTCAAAAAGTCTCAAAAAGACAAAAAGAAAAAAAAAAAAAAAAGAAATATAATGAATGGTACTGATAATTCAGTTGATAATTCAGTTTCACAAACATTTATTCAATATTTAACAATCCACTGACTCACATGCATCCATATATTCATTCATTCATCCAGTAAATACTGAGTAAACAGGTACTGTGCTAAGTCTGTACATGGTAGTGAGGAAACATATTAAAACAATATACTGCATGAAGGTTATTTCATTATAATTGCAACAGGCAATGAGGGAGAAGAAACAGTGGGAACATAGTGGGGAAGATTTGAAACTGTGTGGTAGAAATGGGTTGATACATCAGGACAATTAGGTTGGGTCAGGTTTGCTGAATATTAATGCATTTTCCCCACTGAAGCAATAGTTTTCAACAGCAACAGCTTCTAATACTTATCAAGGGCCTTCTATACTGTTCTCAAGCACTGCTCTTAAATATTAACATATTTTATCCCACCGTATTAGATTATGCATTAGATCAAAACTGTGTGCTAGACTGTGGAACACAGTTCAGTTAAATCACTCTGGGATTCTAATAAGAAAGTCTAGGGGTTGGAGAGATACTTAGCAGTTAAGAGCACTAGCTGCTCTTGTAGAGGACCCAGGTTCAGTTTCCAGCACCTGCATGGAGGCTCATTGTGAGTAACTCCAGTTTCAAGGGTTATAATACCCTCTTCTGGCCTCCTTGGGAATTGCATGCACAGGTGTACTTAACATACATGAACTTACATACATATACACAGAAGACTCATACACATAAAATACTTGTACATACAAAATAAACACAAAATAAAAATAAATAAATAAAAATTTAAAATTGTTAAAAAAAGAAAAATAAGGTATTTAGTGATTTAAAACTATACACAAATACCCATGATTTTATGAAAGATTATTAAGTATAATATATTCCATTAAAAATAAAATGGGGCCTTTTAGGAAGTTGTTTGCTATATGGGGCTTTTATTAAAGGAAGAAAAGAATCAACATTTTTCCTTCTGTTTATGATTACTAAATGATTACTAAACCTAAGCGATTCACTAAGGAAAGTGTCTTCACAGAAATGACAAGGTCTTCCAAAGAAACTGGTCTAGAATTTTGTACCTAAAGACGTAATAATCATCAAATCCATTTTAAAATTTAAAATTTTCAACTTATTCTAATTGTCTATTATCTTTTTGTTATACAAAGAAATGCATTAGTACGCCAAACAAATTAGATTTGAAAAAATTGTTATTTTAGAGTTCTAAATTACAGTCAATAAAAATCAAATATCAAACGATTAAAATAAAAAGAAGAAAGTCTAGGACATTCTGAGTCTTTTGTGTGCTGACATATTCTTCATGTAGACCTCTATGGAACAATGGCAGACTATGTATTACCTAAAAAGAGCAAACTGCCAACATCACAGTTAGTAGCTCTCAAGGTTAGCGTTTGAAAGTAGGTCTGTTTGGTTTTAAAAATCATGGCTCCTATTACATCCAATATAAGTCAAGGGAATACTTGACCAATTTCCTCCAATTCAGTAAAGGCGTAATCTCTATAACAATGTGGATATCATCCTCCCAGATCAGGTAATTAGTTCACTAAGAAACTAGTCTTGGGGCTGGAGAGGTGGCTCAGCAGTTAAGAGCACTTGCTGCTCTTCCAGAGGACCTGAGTTTGTTCCCATCATCCATGTTGGGTGGCTCACGACCATAGGTAATTACAACTACAAGGGATCTGACACCTTCTTCTAGTCTCTGTGGGCACCCCCAAACATGCGGCATACACAAAGAGATACCTACGTAAAGTAAAATCAGTACATTTTCAAAAAGAACCAGTCTTCAAAAGTATGTTTTGGTTTTCATCAGACAACAACAACAACAAAATGCTGTTCATGGGTAGATTTTGTTTATAGAATTTTCAATAAGTTCTGTAGAGAATATAAGAATAGCTTTAGCTGGGGCTTTAGAGATGACTCAGCAGTTCAGAACACTTGATTCTTCCAGAGGACCTGTGTTTGATTCCCAGTACCCACATGGTGGCTAGCCACTGTCTGTGGCTCCAGTTCCAGGGGAACCAACGCCCTCTTCTGGTTTTTGTGGTGCATTGCATGCATGTGGTGTACTTATATGTATGTAGGCAAAACATACATAT